CGGGGCCGGGGCCGAGCAGCCGCCCCTGGCGGGTCAGACCTGGCCCGCGGCGCCCGGCGTCCTGCTGACGGGTGCTGAAAGGAGAGCGAGCCGCGCGTCACCGGGGTCCCCCCGCTGGCAGCCCCCAGCATTTAGGGTCCAGGAAGCTCGGATTCAGGGGCTGTGCCCACCCCCACCCCGCTCCAAGACTCCGTCCAGTCCCGATCCCAACAAACTGTCGGCTTCCCCCACGTGTGTCTCTCCGGTGCCACCGGTGCCTCTCTAATGACACGCTGAGTGGAGACGAACATCCTTGTGTTAGTTTTAAACTTACTGCCTTTTGAAAGGAAAAAAGGCAGCAAGTTCCCCTTCCTTCCCTTTGCTTTTCTCCTGCTCATATCGTGTTTTAAAGATGCAGCCGTGGCCCAGGAGCCGGCACTTCCCGGCAGCCTTGAAATCAGCTGAGCTCCTTGCATGGGGGTAGGGATGCATCTGTGATTTTTTTTTCTTTCAAAAGGCAGACCCACTTTAATTTTAGACACTCCAGCTTCTGTAGAAGCATGGCTGGGCATTTGCTGTCTCCTGTTAAAGTTGGAGTGGAAAGCTGTGTTTGAAAAATATTTTCAGTAAAAGTTTTCATGGTTTATAACACTCTCCTGCTCAATTCATTGCCTGTTACACTTGAACCTGATCTAGGGTGACAACAAACCATTAGCGGACGAAGTTAGCAATCTTCACACAGGCGATCTAATATTGACCGCAGAGTTTTGGAAATCATTCTGTGTTGCAGCCTTGAAAATGTACTGTAATTTCCCACATTCAGAATAGTTTGTGATATTTTTAATCGGTCTGTGAAAATACCCAACTGCAGTTCTATTTAGTTATGAAGATTTTTGGGACAAAGAAAGCTTCTTTTAAGGGAATGGATATATCTTGGTCACAAAATCATAATATATGCAAGTTATCTGATGAAGGTCAGATGATGTATGGTGCTTCTACAGTCTCAGGGGTTATCAACAAGACCATCATAACTTTAGGTTTTGGTTGTTAATTGGGACTGAAACATCATATAAATATTGATCTTCTGTCTTCTGTGTTCTTATAGCTGTGGCATCAGTCAAACATTTTGACAGTGGCACTAGCCAAACTAACAAAGACCGGGTTTTCTTGTTTCTTACTTGGGCAAAATTACTGCTGACGTTAAATTATGCCTGATAAAATATAGATTCTATAAAATATCGAATTAGACCCTGACTAAATTTTAATATGAAGCATGCATTTTAAGCAGGTAGGATAAAGATGGAAAGGATTATATTAAAGGGGTCTATTCTTCTTCCCGTGGTTATAATTATGCAATTTCCATTAGCACAAATGCTCCTTACATGATATATGGAGAGGTGGATGGATAAGTTTAATGGAGCCTGATCCTAGAACACTTGCTCGAGCAACTTTCTATTGACTTCAGTGGGAGTTTTGTCCCATTAGAGCTTGCAGGACCTGATCTTATAGGTTTTTTTTTTCAACATATCTCCCAAATGTTTTGGATTGGACCCATTGCCAAAATGCTCTTAGTGCTGACCAGGTCAGTCCCTTGTAGCAGATATTCACTTTTAAGTCAACATGTGTGTGAAAAAACTGTGCCCATGTGGAATCTTTTTGAGGGAAAAAAGAAGTCACCTCTGCCCCTATGTATTGGGTATCTACCTGCATCCTTATGCTCCTGGACAACATATTGTATGTGTGTGCATGCATATACACGCACATATTTGTGTATATTCAAAGATTTCAATGCCAAACTTAGAGAGTGTCTACACAGCAAAGCAAACGTGATTGTAGCACATGTTAGCATACCTGTGCAAGATTAATCTAACTGGCATGGGTAACAATAGCAGTGAATGTGCAATAGCGCAATTTTTAGCATGTGCCAGCAGCTGGAATACAAATCCTCAGAGGACCCGGGTATGTACACTGATTGTTAGCATGCACATGTCACTGCATCTTGACTATTAAAATTACCTGTGCTAGCTCCCGTGCACTGCTACACTGGCATGTGACATACTCATAGCCTCTCAGATCTCTTGTCCAGAAGGTAGGTACATTCCAACTGGGAAGATACAGGTAGCATCGCTGAGCATTAAACGAACATTTTTTTTATTTAATATAGGACAAGAATCAGCTACTGCAGACAAACGTATTTTGTCAGAAATATGGAGGAATAGAAGACTAATGGTATCACAAAATGGGACACGTGAAGAAAAGAACTGTACAGACCCAGGTAAGGAATGAAAGCTTTATGGTATCTTGTAGGCTGTTGAGATCTACTGCATTGTGCAGTCATAACGAAAGCTGCAGTGATGTGTCATTGTGAACATAAAAATGTCAAACTTATGAAAAGGCAAGGCTGTGCCATATAGAGAAAAGGTTTATGAGCAAAGTACTTGGTGATACTGCTAAGCAACTCAAGGGCTTTAGCAAAGGTAATGTTCAGTCATAACGTTGTGTCTAAGGTCTCATGAGGCTCGTCCTAGAGGTTGGATTTCAAAGTACCTTTCCTTCTTGTCATTTCTGTCCAGTTGCTGCTGCCTGTTAGCAGGTTGTGCACTTTTTTTGGAACCATAAGTAGAAAAGGTTACAATGCTGAAATTGCTACTTAATGTAATGGTTTATTAAGGTAACTTATTGTATCAATTGCTGTGAGTTCAAAGCTGCACCAAGCTAAGTTAAAAGAAGCATGTTCAGCTTTTCAGGTTTGGAATGTGTCAGAATTGGCATTTTGGGGAGAGAAGAGATGAGGTAGGCATCAGGGAATTCAGCCATCTTGACATTCATTGTATCTCGCCATTTCAGTCCTGGCCCTGGAACCATGATTTACTGAGGGCTGTAACAGAGGGGTACAGTCTGATGTGAATTTAAGTCCTTAGTGCTTTTACCCTCCATGTTTTTCTGTGGCCTAATTCCCCTTGGCCTCTCTCTGTTCATAGTGCATGGAAGCTGGGACATCTTCCCATATAGCACTAGCCAAACTAATCTTAAATCAGAAATGTTGTCTAAAACCGTAACACCACTCCTTGATCATGAGTTAGGATGGTGGCTGCACCTTCTAAAAAAACAGACAGCACCTATTCTGCACTATGGTACTGACAGCTCTGATTTACTAGAGTTCAGAGTTGTGCAACTGCCTTCTACAGGTACAAGTCTGTTTTAGCTTTAATGTGCAGTTCTAAGGGACAAGTGAAAAAAGTTTAGCTAGCATCAGCAAAGCACAAGTCTTTAGTTATGGTGTCCCAAAGTTTCTTTATAGGCACTGGGTATGCGGAAAGAAATCTGTTTGCTGTTGTGTGCACTTATGTAAACAATTATGATAATGTTGACTATTCTATAAAAGGTGTTGCTATAGAGAAAGAGACAAATAAACATAACTTGAGACGATCTAGGCTGAAATGGTCATTCACTTCATTACACTGGCTGTTATATATATGTACGTTGACCATGTGTCCTGGTTTGGCCAGGAAAGTCCTGGATTTTGTAGGCTAGTCCTGGATGGTTGGTGAAAATTAATACAGAAGTACCAGAATTGCAGGGTCATGGGGTGCAGTCCAGCAGGGTAGAATAGCATGGTATGCCAGGCAGGTGGGCAAGCAGGCACTGTGATAGAGCACTGCTGCCTGCAGCAGAGTTGGGGATGGAAGGGAGTGTGTCCTAGATATCCTTAAAAGTAATATGGTCACCCTATATATATATGTTTTAAAAACTTAATGGAGAAGAATATAAGTTTCCATATGCAACATAGAATGAGAATAAAATCACTCAAGCAAGATTGACAGTCCTGTTAAGAAATCTTGTGCAACCTCCCAAAATACGAGATTGTCTTAAAACTTATGAGATGTAAAAGTATAATTTTGTTATTTCTTTTTTGGATTTTGAGCTTTTAGAGTGCCCTGTTATCCAAAATAGAAAATTATTAAATGTCTCCAGGATCTGGGTCTTTAAGAAAAATACCAAGTAACTTGAGTCTCATATTAAACTTGTGAGCTTGACAAGCATTGCTCATTTCAGATTTTTTCTTAAGTGTTGCCTGCAGTTATTATTTAGATTCATTTATCAAGTAATGTCACAGGAACGTGGCAGCAGCATTTTAGCCACTTCCTGTTGTGCTACAGGTTGTGTGAAGCTTATCTCTCTGTGTCTTTCTTAGGTTGAAGAGAAGACAGACATTCCAAGAGTGATTAGATAGAAGACAAAAGTCTGCAAATAGTAAAAATGTCCCCCCTCCCCCAGTAAGATTTTCTGTTGCTGCTACTCTTGTCTGTCTGAGGGCTGGAAAGTGAAGGCTGCAGTTTAATAAGTGGAAGCTACAGAGACAACTAATATGTAAAAATGAGAGAGTAACATGTGAGTATCTCATATCTCTATGAGATATATAAATAACATCCTCAGAATACAGATGGGGAAACTGAGTTACAGAAAAGTTAAGGAGCTTGACCAAAATTACACAGAATTTTTTCTTGACAAAAACTGGGAATAGTAATCATATTTCCCAAATCTTCATCTTGTACCTAAACCACAAAACCATCTTTTCCATTTTAAGATTTTCTTAAAAAACAAATGAGTACCTAGGCACTGTTATACCCAAAACAACCTCCATTTTTTTCACTTTTTAGAGCACAGGCTATGATAACATATAAGAGGTCTGTACATAGGTACTAGCATGGAAACTGATTATTCCATATCTATCTTAGGCTACTCATGAGTCCCACAGGTGTTTGTATTTGTACATTCAAATATAAAGATACCTTATATAAAACTTTGTTTATGTAGATTTGTTTTTGCATGTGTGCTTGGAGAGACAGCATGTTCATGACCCCTTGGGGAATGCAAATTCTTGCCAGGAGTCATCCACTTGCCACTCATCATGTCACTACAAGGTTGTTGCTGAGCTTCTGTTTTACTAGTTCGCCACATAGTCCAGAGCTTCACTTCACATCTTTCAAGGATCTAAGAAAAATTATGTCATTTATTTACCTTCTTACCAAATTCACATAGTCACTCACATGCAAAAACAATTATTCTAAATTGTCCAAAGTTACAGCTATAGATATGTATAAAGTCAGCAGTTCATGACAGTTGTGACAAAGTCTCATCCTGGCTAATATATCTTGGGGAAAGATTCTGTAACCCATGCCACTAGAAAACAGAGAAGCCTTTACTATCTGAACATGCTTTTTTACCAAAGCAGTTTTTTTTGTATTGTGTTATCTTGAAAACATTATTAATGCTGCTGGGGCATTTCTATATCAGAACAGCAAACACTTTGAAGTCCTGGCAGTACTGTTTAAGAAAAGAACCCTGAGGCTCTGAAGGATGGGGAAGAAAATGAAGAGACATTTATTTGCTAATACTGGAGACCTGGAAAGGGAAAGATTTATCTTAACACTTAGAGGCCAGGTGAATGTTTGAGATGAATGTTGTGACATTCACCAACATCTGAGGTGGTGCTGCAAATCCCTTTTAGCAAGACATGCTCTAGAGGGAGAGGTTAATATATCACCTATATAAATACACACACACAGGCAACAGGGGACTTGCAAGTGGGTAGGATGTAATCAGGTGGAAGACCAGTTATTCCCATAGCAACTCATACTGTGGCCCAACATCAAATATTTAGTCATTAATATATAGCCTGTAGCCATATCAAGCTCCCTCCAAAGCCTGCCTTGTGACATGAAACTCCCTCTCTACTAGAAGTTCCTGGGGCATATCTGGAGAGACAGGTTCCCATGCAGCAATGCTGCCAAGCAGCCAAGAAATTGGAGGTGGAGAGGGTAACAGAGCTACACAAGGGTCTAGGGCTTCTAAGCAAATGGCTCTGAGCCTCTGAAAATCCTCCAAGACCCATACATTCTGGAGACTGAACCGACTGCTTATTTCATGTGGTGTAAGCCCACTTATCTACCCCTTGAACAAGTTTGGGGAACCACCATGATGAGGGAAACTGTGCTCAGTTTTCTTCCATCTCTGAAAAGGCACTTTAGTGGCTTTCCAAGGAAGGGAGTGCTCTAACTCCATGCTAAAGCAAAGGCATCAGAAAGGACTGGTTGTCTTTTGTATCTTAACAGTTCTAATCAGTTTGTAACCATTTTTTTGCCTGCTCCAAACAGTTAGTGCCATCTGCCAACAGTCTCACTAGCTCTCAAAATGCCATCTGCCCATCATGACTGACTTACAGGTTCTATGCTCTGATTGCTTCCCTCTTGCTTCAAAATGTTCCCACAATCTCTGTTTTCTCCAGATCTATGAGTAACATTTCAAGTGCAGTTGCAGTTGTGGAGTGACTGGATGGTGCTGTGTTTCTTCCACTTAGAAACATTCTAGTCATATGACTCAATTGAGTTATATTAGGATATTAAAGCACTTGATTTGAACAGTTTTCTGTTATTGTAAACATTCTCCACTAATAACTGCATTGGAGGGGGAGAATATTAAAATAATTACCAGAGATGAGAAATATATTAAAATACATTACTGTCACTCTTTTAAATAAGTTGGTTGACAGCTTTGAAATTGAAGAATTTATGATATTCTGTCCAGAGACCACTGCATCATATGTTTCTTGAATTGCTACTTTTTTCACCTGGTTCAAAGTGTCTCTGTCCCACTGATAGCGATGGCAAAAATGGGCTATAGATTGGGTGCAAAATAGGGCTCAATCTTAGATTCTGATGTGCACCTTCTCCTAAAATTAAAATACATATTGTGGTACCTTCCTTGCCATCAACGAAGCAAAAGAAGTCACAATACTCATCAGCCCACATACAGTGAGATACAGAGTATTTGCTAACAACAGCTGTGCCTTTCAGCATCCCAGTGTGTAGAAATATCTGAGATAAGAATCTGGCCTACCTGCATAAATCCCAGGTAACTCTGTTGATTTAAATGGTATATACAGTGATTTAACTGAGATCAGAATGGAGCCCTAGTCATTAAGCCTATGTACATTTGAATTATCCAAGCCTTAGACTTTGTAGAGAAACTGAAGAAATTTAGATGTTTTTGGTAATGCACTGCAATTAACGCATTGATATCTCAATCTTACTGCTACAGTAATCAGTGGCAATGTTCATCTTGACTTTAATGCCAACAGGATTGATTCCTAAAAGTAGATTTTATTAAGAAGATAGAAAAATGCCCTTTTGTATGAAAAAGCAAGGTTTTTTGTGATGTACTCACTTCCATCTAAAAGTTGTATTTAAAAAGACTATGCTTAGTTAAATATTC